TTTTCGTGACATCTTGTTTGGGAGTATAGTCATTTTTCTGTGCCCGAAATACGAACTGCTGAGGGAAGAAATGTATATAAAGGGGATTATCCCCAAATAAAAAATCTGCTACAGAAGGTGAACTGGAATGCAGCACAAGGACCTGACTCAGAAAGCGATTGGCTCCTCCTTTAGAACATAATGCAGCACTTGGTAGAGAGCTGTTGCCCACTGAAGAGAAAGCTGCGCACTTCCCGACCACAGTGGGTGACGTCAGATATAAAGGACCTTAAATTGAAAAGGAGACTTTGGAAAAAGTACGCCAGATATCAACAACCAGAGTATTTTATAAACTTTAAGAAACAGAGGAATATATGTTAGAGTCTTCTGAGGAGGGAACGGGCACAATTTGTGTCAAATCTTCTAAAATATCCCGCAAAATTCCAAAAAATTCTTTGGATACGTAAATAAGGCGAAACACAACCGGGACTGCATTGCCTGTCTAAAGGATTGTCAGCCAAATACGTTGTCTGACAATTCAGATGGTGCAAACCTGTTGTCCGATTTTTTCACGTCCGTGTATACCGAGGAACCGGCTTTTGATGAAAGAGTTTACCCCCAGTTATTAAATCAAACAATAAAATTAGCACAGAGGCCTTCACGACAGAGACGGTATTGGAAACCTTGAGTATGTCACAGCCCACTAAATCGCCTGATCCGGACGGCGTACTCGCAAAAGTCCTGAATGAACTCACAGACCAACCGGCCCCTCCGCTATTCAGGATATTCAAAACTTCGATGGAGACCGGGGCTCTGCCAACCGACAGGAAGAAAGGAAATATCAGCGCCATATGTAAAGGCGGCGCGAGAACAGCCCCAAATAGTTTCCGACAAGGAGTTTACGAGCATCTGATACAAATTGATGGAAATGGTAATAAAACGGTGCTGATGCGACATCTTGAAGAAAACAACTCGCTCAGTTTGCATCAGCATGGATTTTGAAGGCGTCGATCCTATCTTACTATCCTACTAGTATCCATGGAAAGCTGGACGAAATCAATCGACATGGGTTTATCAGTCGACGCCGTGTACATTGACATCAGAAAGGCTTTTGACAGTGTTCCACACAGACGACTGATATTTAAACTACGTCAAGTGGGTGTGAATGGAAATTTGTCGAAATTGTTAGCCGACTTTCTTACGGGCAGATCTCAGCGTATGTGTATCGGAAACGCTAAATCGGAATGAGCATCCGTGCACAGTGGCGTTCCGCAGGGGAGTGTTCTGGGCAATTAAGACTCTCGATCGTATAATATAGCTCCCCATAGTAAGAGCTGAACCTAATACATACCCAACATCCCTGCCTATATTTCGTAGAGGATGTATCAATAATCATTGATGCAACGTAAGATGAAAAGTGACCTTTTGAGAAACCAACATGTTGCCCTGAGTACAGTCGATATCGGCTCTCTCCTCCTCCTCCTCCTCCTCCTCCTCCTCCTCCTCCGCCTCTTCCTCTTTCTCCACCTCCCCCTCTATGATTTAACTACCAACAAGCCTATCCCTACTCTAATGTTCGAAATCTATGTTTCCACATCCTTTAGGTCTCATGCCCAGCCTTCTCTTGCTGACTCACCGTACGTTAATAACTCTAGACTAACTGGTACTTATTTTCCAAGCGTCATAAATTCACAGCTTACATATCCGCCTCCAAATTTTTTTCTAAATACCGTTGAAAATAGCCTTGCTGTTCGAAACACATTGGAAATTATATTATTGAATGCCAGGTCTGTTATAAACAAGATGGCCCAAATCAGAGCCATTGCTCTCGAAATGGCGCCTGATATTATATGTATAACATAAATTTTGATCCATTCTCTAATGCCTGACTCTACCCTTCTCATATTTGACTCCGATTTTTTACGCCAAAACCGCACAACTGGGCATGGGAGGGTAGTCTCCTTTATCTTAGATCATAACTAAAGCTCTTTCCCTATTACCTGGATGTATCATCATTCACGGGAAACCTCTGCTTCGCATCTATTATTCTTTTGCCGCAACGAAGGGCAATTATTGGCTGTATCTACGGTCGCCCAAACTCTTCAGCCAGTGATGATTCACAGCTCTGTGAAATCTTTTCATAAATTTCGGAAGCTGCCTTCGATGCCGAGATAATCACTGGGAATTTTAACCTTCCTGAAATAGACGGGCTTTCCAATATCTGTCCATCTAGATTCCAGCCCTTTCAAGATAGTGTCCACTTTTCTAACTGGTCCCCACTGGTGCGCTCTCCAACAAGAGATAATCACATTTTAGATCTAATCTTTACTAGTGACACTGCTCCTCTATTTCATGCTCTCAAAAGGACATTATTGATGGTGTCCACATATTAATTCGTTGGTGCTTACCGCTTGACTTTTCGAAAAAAGACTAGCACAGTTCGGACTTACCTAAACTACGATTGCGTAGATAAAGGCTTAATAGATAACTATATTAGACCATTGGATTGATGTGGCTTTCCATCCTTTACTGATGCAACCATTCTTTGTGATTTCATGTCTAAGGTTTCCAAGGACATCTTAGAGTTTGTGCTGCGGAGATATATTAAGTCTAATTATTCGGATTCCCTTGTTCTCCATTTTCTTTTGCCAAATGAAAGCTAAGGCACCAGAAATAGACTGGAATGTTCTCTTCTCCGGAAACGTCAACGAGGACTGGAATTTATTCAAGGATCGGTTGCTGGATCTAATAATAATAATAATAATAATAATAATAATAATAATAATAATAACATTACTAGCAATAGTAATCGTAATGATTTTTATTAAAGACCCGTCGGGGTTTCATCAAAGCAAGTAAAAATAAATGAACATGCGAATTTTAGACGAGGTAGACAAAATCAGTACAAAGTGCAATTCATAGATTTGTAGTAGTAGTCCGTTAAAAATGATTTGCGAGGGGTGAAAAAACTCCACATTAAAATTTAAAAGTGATTGGATTAATTTTACAGCAGGAAAAAAACCCTTGATGAAAAAGCAGTAACAAAAAATGCTGGTAGGACTGGCCTGCATGTGGCGGTATATAATGGATTATAATCAGACATCGTCAGGGCAGAAATAAATGTCACCAGTATATGGCATTGTATAACGGATTTCATGAAGGGGTAAACAGGCGGGTCAGTCAGGACTGGCCTGTATGTGGCCTTGAATAAGGCAAATAAGTGACGAAACTAAAAACCAGTCTCGAGGCGATAGGAACCCAGATGCGGTCGGTTACATTCATCCGAGTCCATTCGAGGATGGGGTAGGGGAGACACGACCAGACTACTAGTGTATGGCGAATACAGAAGGCGTCGCCAAGAGCGTCGATGGAGCGCATTCTGTGTGGGCACGATGCATGAACTGAAAAATCGAAAAATTTAAAATTTCTGGTAAGGGATCTAAGGAAGCGATACGACTCACAAAGGAAGGAAATGTGAGCAGATACGGAAAGTTAATGTCGGCGTTCTAAACTCCCGGTGGCCCTTTCTCAGTGTCATGGAGAAAGTTGTCGGGGAAGGTTGAGGAAAATAAAAGTTTAGTCGAGTCAGTATTCATATAAAGGCGTAACCTTCTCTCAAATGTATGTAGATTATTAGAAGATGATATATTTATTGGAAGGTTATTCCAGAGGAAAGTATATCTGGAAGCGAAAAAGAGAGCTTTTAGAGGTGGAGGAAGCTGGCGAAGGTATAAGCAAGGATGAGTTGCGAAGATTGTACGGACGACTACTAAGGGTAAGTGCTGAAATCCGAGGAACATTTGAACTATTATTAATGCGAAAGAGGAGACAGAAGCCTGCTTCTAGTCATCGAACCCATAAAAATTATAGGTTAATAAGCTGACATCTATCCGAGTAGGAGATATTGGATGCCCCCGATCTAGAAGTTTTTTTTAGAAAAACGTCTTTGGACATTTTAAATTCTTAAACGACGAGCCTCATTCCCCAAACCAAAGAATGGGCAACAATACTCGAGAATGGGGAGTACAAACATACGATAAAGTCTTAATTTAATTTTAGGAAGTTAGAGATAGGAAGAAATAAAGGCACAGATCTGGGCAGCTTTGGCTGTAATTCTGTCAGCGTGTGGCAAGAGACCAAGATTATTAGTGTAGCTTAAACCTAAATCCTTCATGGTGGTACATTCAATCATAGATGTGCCTTGAAAGGCCACTGGTTGTGGTTGTCTCTCAGGTCCGAAACACATCTAGCGACATTTAGAAGGACAGAATCCCAATAGTCATTTTGAGCTCCAAGCTGAGAGAGCAAGCAGGTCAGCATGGATTTGCTCCAGGCAATGAAGGCTCGTGGATTTACTGAAAGAATATACACATTTGAGATCATCGGCATAAATGACAGTTCGACCATCGATTTCGATGATGTCCATCGTGTGCCCCACAGCAGCAGCGGTGGGAGCAGAGACGGTGATTTACGCAGGGGTTTATAATGCCGGTAGACTTGCGCAGCACCTACCTACACTCTCTCCTCCTCCTCCTCCTCCTCCTCCTCCTCCTCCTCCTCCTCCCCCTCCTCCTCCTCCTCCTCGCCCGAGCCCGGTGTCAAGACAGAGTCATGAAGACCGGAGACGAGGGAGGCCGCAGGTGGATGGCCCGGACGGATCCTCACCTTGGCGTCCAACCACACCCCCTGGTTCACACAACAAATAACCATGATTTCAACCAACAAAACCGAGATTGGAGGCTGGCACGGCCGAAGCCGCATCTAGGCGTGCCGCCGACGCCTGGCTCGGATCTCACACAGCGGGAGTGCCATAAAAGCCACATTAGGAAGGAGGCATTTCAGCCTGACTCTCAGACCGCCAGTCGGGGTCCAGGTTGTCCCGTCAGTTGGCAACCTTCCCAGCCACGACTTTTAGCTCACCGTGATAGCTTTAAGCGCGTCAGATTGTTTACAGTGAGGAGAAAATGCGCTGAGTCGTCGACCTCACTCTCTTTTCCCATTTTCACACCCCAGCCGCTGTTGGAGCCGGTCAGCAGACTGGAGTGGGAAATGGGCGCGGTGGCTGGCATGATCAACTGACCGTGACTGCTCGCGCTACGTGCACGACCTGGCCGCCCACACACACACACACACACACACACACACACACACCAGGATTTCACACAACGGGGGTTGAACGGCGTGTCTCTCGCTTGCGTGAGAGGGCCGTGATAGGTGCTGTTTAAGCCCGTCTTCAGCCCACCGCTCCGCCACTCCACACAACACCCACATAGCGGGACGAACTGCGTAGACCGAGTGTGGGCGTCAATCAGCAGCCTTTCTATCCACGACGTTTGACATGTAGGGATAGCCTCAGACCAGGTCACCGTGCAGCCGAAGACGCATGGGGACCGAGTCGAGATGCACACTTCCTACTTGCGTGGGAGGTGGCAGTTGGGTGCTTGCGGTGTGTGAGTGTTGATGTGTGGTGGTGGTGGGGGTCGTGGTGGTGGAGGCTGGGAGGGAGGGTGTTGTGATGTGGTGTAGCCGGCGGTTGTCTACCGCAGGTCGTCGTGGATGCGCATGTGGCCGAATAGACGCATGCGATGCGTGAAGGTGCGAGGGCAGTGTGGGCAGTGGAGGCGAGTGCGGTGGGTGTAGGTTGGTGCTCCAGGCACTGGTTCGCCAGTCTCTGTGCGATGGACGCGCAAGTGACTGACCAGGCCGATGTGCGAGGTGAAGGTGCGGCCGCAGTGAGGGCAGGCGTAGTCCTGGTCCTCACCCCTGGAGTCGGAGGTTGGAGGGATGGTGTCTGTTGTTGTGCCATGGATGTGTGCGATGATGGTGTGAATGACGACCAGCATAGCGGGCGTGGTTTGTGCAGTGGGGCAGGAGGAGGAGGGGGAAGACGCGGGGGAAGAGGAGGAGGGGAGGAAGAAGGAGAGGAGTAGGAGTAGGAGGATGAGTAGGAGCAGGAGTAGGAGGGGGGGAGGAGGAGGAGGGGGAGGACGGAAGTGGTGGTTCAGAAGAATTGTCAGAGTTAGTTGGCGGCGGAGAGGACGAGGCAGAGGCCGGCGGAGGGGCGGCGGTTGGTGCGGTATGGGAGGTGCAGTTGGTCCGAAGATGTCGAATGAGTCCAATTTGTAGCCTGAATGTCCGTTGACACAGAGGACACGTTGGAAGCGGTTGTGCGTTGGCGTTGCGGACGGGACGTAGCTGTGATTTGCGTGCTTCACGTTTCACTTCGGCAGCGGCGAGTCGGTCGGCCTCATAGATCGCAGCGCCTGTCTTCACTTTCCTCCTCCAGGTCGGTCGGTCGAGGGCGAACTCTTCCTATTTGGTCGGGTTAATTTGCAGATGCTTCAGGGAGGACTTCAGAGCATCCTTGTATCGACGAATTTGGCCTCCTTGATGGTGAGAGCCCGTCGTGACGTCTCCATAGAAGAGTCGTTTGGGTAGTCGCTCGTCGTTCATTTGCACCAGGTGGTCACTCCAGCGCAGCTGCATTTGTCTCAGCATGGTGTAGATGCTGAGGATTCCCGTTCGTTCCAGCACATCAGTGTCGGGCATTCGATCCTGCCAGTTCAACCTCAGGATACGACGGAGACAACTGAGGTGAAAGTGGTTCAGTCGACGTCCAAGTCTCCGCTCCGTACAGCAGCGTCGGCAGGATGACGGCCTTGTACATCTTCAGCTTCGTGCTCAGTTGGAGACCCTGACGATTCCGGACTGCGCTTTGGAGGCGGCCGAAGGCTTGATTGGCCTTCGAGATCCTGCGAGCGACTTCGTCATCGATTTTGGTGTTGAGGGATAGTGTGCTGCACAGGTACGGGAAGTTCTCCACCACTTACAGTTGGGTCCCATTCATTCTGATTTGCGGTGGCGCGTTGGGGGGAGTGGCGGTTGATGCATCACCACCGTCTTCTGCGTGTTGATGACCAGACCGAAGTTCTCGCAGGCGGCAGAGATGAGGTCCATGCTCCGTTGCATCTCCTCTTCCGAGGTGGTGTTCAGGGCGCAGTCGTCGGCGAAGAGAATTTCGTGAACGGTGGTTGTGGAGACGCGCGATTGGAAGTGCATCCGCTGCTGATCCAGAAGGTGACCGTCCGTCCTGTAGGCGATGCGGATCCGGGGGGCGTTCATCACGGCAGGCGTCCATCAGCATGGCAGAGTACATAAGACTGAAGAGGGTGGACACCAGCACGCATCCCTGCTTCACTCCTTTGGTCACTGCGAATGCCTCTGAGACAGCTCAGTTGTCCGTGACTCGCGCCATCATACCGTCGTGCAGCTGACGCACCATCCGAGTGAATCGCTGCGGACAGCCGAATTTCTGCATGATCTTCCACAATCCTTCACAATTCACCGTGTCGAAGGTTTTCGTCAGGTCCACGAAGGTAGAGTACAGGTGGGTCCGCAGCTCCCGGCATTTCTCCTGGAGTTGACGGGCGGCAAAGATCATATCCGTGGTCCCACGATGACCACGGAAGCCGCATTGGCTTTCCGGCAGAAGGCCCTGTTCCAGATGATTATTCAGACGATTGAGGAGGATGCGAGCGAAGATCTTCCCGGTGATGTTCAACAAGGGGATGCCACAGTGATCGTCGCAGACTTGGCGGTTCCCTTTTCGCTTGTAGAGATGTACGATGGTTGTGTCTTTGAAATCTTGCGGGACTTCACCTGGAAGAGCGCAGTCAGGGGATTCATCAGTTGGGGACCTCCGTGCTTGTAGACCTCAGCAGGGATTGCGTCCGATCCGGGTGCTTTCCCGCTGGAGAGCTGCTGCATGGCCCTGATGGTTTCCTGGAGAGATGGCGGGATGTCGAGGTCTACGTTGGTCTCCACTTGCGGCAATCGGACGATGGCGGCGTCGGAGATGGCGGAGGGGCGGTTGAGGACGCCTCGGAAATGCTCGGTCCATCTCTGTGGAATTTGTGTCTTCTCAGTCAGGAGGGTACTGCCGTCGGCGCTGAGGAGAGACGCAGTGCCCTTCGTCGGCGGGCCGTAGACAGCATTGATCGCGAAGAAGAAGTCCCTCCACTCGTTGCGGTCCGCGCAGCCTTGGATCTCCTCAGCCTTGCGAGCAGTCCAGGCGTCCTGCATCACGCGCAGTCGTTTCTGAAGGTGGCGACGACCGCGACCGATCGCGTCTGGGCTACCCTCAACTCGCCACTTTGACGCCAATATCCTAATCCGGTATATGAATTCTGCCCTGACGATGTCCCGGGAATCGGCTCTTCGCTTCTATTGGCAGAATCGATTAGATTAAGAATTGCGCAACTGATTCCCTTTGCCTGTCGCGCGCTTGGAGCATCCTTGACGCCATTTCAAAGATATATGTGATTCTTATATTAACGGATAAAGAACTATTGGATAGGTCACGCAGCTGCCGTCTTTACTTCGTAGGTCTCAGTCAGTCAGTCAGTGTCAATCAGCGTATTTGAGGGAAATAGGCTTATGCCTTCTGAACTCCTTATTTGTATATAAAAAATCGATAAATAAGCAAAAATTTGAATAAATTGCAACATTAAGTGAATGCAGACACTGATTCACATATTTCACTGGTCTCATGGCTAAAAAGTGACAAAGTCCGCTCGTTGCTGCAGCATATATCTGTCAAGCCGGCGTTTAAATGTCTCCACAGATTGAGACATGACAATCGTCTCGGGCAGGTCATTCCACGGTTCCACGACACGGTTGGAGAAGAAATACTTTCTCACATTCAACCTACCCTGGGGCACACTTAGCTTAAAGGAATGTCCCCGGAGGTGAGATTTAGTGGCGAGTTGGAAAAAGTCGTCGCATCGAAGGGCTCACGATACGAAAAGTTTGTATCCAGTCTCCGCGCAACTGCCTATAAATCAGAGGATAGAGAATGAGGTTAGTTAAGCGAATATCGTATGACAATGCAATTAAATAAATAAATAATTTTTTATATAAGACCCTTCGGGGTCTCGGCCTGCCTCTCCGGGATGGGGCAAATTCGCCACCATATCAGCGTCTACGCTCCGTCGATGAGCAGCCCTGACGCCGCAAGAGACAAATCTACGAGGACCTGCACGCACTCTTGGCGACTGTGTCGAAGGCGGACAAGTTGATTATCCTTGGTGACTTCAACGCCCGCGTCGGCACAGACCATGCTGCCTGGTGAGGAGTGCTGGGTCCCCGTGGTCTCCGCGGTTCAAACGACAGTGGCGTGCTGCTCCTCCGCACCTGCGCAGAACACCGCCTCATCCTGACAAACACCTTCTTCTGTCTGCCGGAGCGAAAGAAGGCCACCTGGAGGCATCCTCTGTCGCGTCAGTGACACCTGCTGTACTATGTCCTCGTCCGGAGGCTAGACCAGCGGGACGTGCTGGTGACAAAGGCGATCGCGGACACTGACGGATGGACCGACCATCGCCTCGACATCTCGAAGATGCGCATTCGCCTACAGCCTCGCAGGAGACCACAAGGTAAGCGACCCCCAGGTAAGCTGAACGTTGTCTTGTTGTCTTTGCCCGCTCACCATCTCCATTTCAGCAATAAGCTGGCTCAACGGTTAGACAACCTTCCTATCGCTGCCGCCGCCGACGACGCCGCCGCCGCTGCCGAGAATGCCCCCGTGGAGAACAGCCGCTGTCAACTGCGAGACTCGGTCCAGTCGACGACGCTAGCCGTCCTCGGTCGCGCTCCCCGCCAACACCAGGACTGGTTCGACGACAACGACGCCGCCATCAGCAATCTGCTCGCCGAAAAGAACCGCCTACACAAAGCCTTCGAAGAGTACCCCACTGACGACAACAAAGCTGCCCTTTACCGCAGTCGTCGCCACCTTCAGAAACGACTGCGCGTGATGCAGGACGCGATCATCGTCGCAGGATCGCCAGTCGCCCGATGTCGCCTTGGGCACCATGTGCAGAGGGGACGTTCAAGATGTTTCAGACGGTAGGATCATGCCCAGTTGCAGCGTATGCTCAGACTCTGTCCTCGCGGTCTGAAAACGGGATGGTGCTAATCGCCTAGACCGAGCAAACACAGGAGAACCTGATGTGTGGGTGTGATGCACAACATCATGCTGGACCTCGCCACTGCGAAACTGCTGGTTAGTAATGTTCGGGTGTTGAAGCAGCAACTCCCGATAGGGATAAGCAATACCAGTATCCATAACAGATAAGTTGTCGGGGGTAGTAAAGGGGGTTAATCAGAGAAAAGACAGACCAATTGTGAGGTCGAAGAGTCGACATCGTCGGCAGTTAACAAGGAGATCGAAATCGGCTGGAAAGTCCAAGTCGAGGATAACACGGGGTACATCGGTAATCACAGAAATCCAGGAGAGCGACCGACGACCAGTGTCTACGGTGAGGGAGATGTTGACAAAAGTGGAAATGGAGGGAGAGTTGACAGCTTGGAGATGAACACCAGGGGTGCGGAAACGACGGTCGGATGGAGTGAGAAGGATAACGCTGATTTGGGCTCCGGCGTCCACTAGGAAACGTCTGCATGTCACACGGTCGCAGGCATAGAAGGTGCGACCAGATCCGAAAGGACCAGAAAGAACAGTCGCCTCTATTCCAATAGATATAAGATCAGATGATTTATAAATTTTTAAGAGAAGGCTGAGCATTTATCTGAATACTGGGACGAATGAACTTTTATTTTCATCATCCTTCCCGGACGACTTTCTCTATGAAATTGAGAAAGGGTCATCGGGAATTTAGAACGCCGCCACCAAATCACCGTATCTGCTCAAATTTCATCCTCTCTATGGTTTCGATTTCTAGGATCTCTCATCAGAAATACCGATTATTTCGATTTTTCTGTCTATGCATCGTGTCCTTCATAGAACGCGATATCCTTCCTGACAAATCCTTTCAAAGAAGTAGCGGGGCTAGCTTGACGTGCCCGTCCTAAGCCGCCTCAGTTTCGCTAGCCGCCGGCCCTCATCAGGAATCCTCCCTGGTTCCCTCGGTTTCGAAACCTCACCCCCATCGATGATTTTTACAGTTCTTCATGTCAACTCCCCATTCCGGACCCAAGTGGTTTGTTGACGAACACGGCGGAATCCGCTGTTTTTGCCATTTACTAGCAGTCTGATCGGTCAGCGAAGAGGTCTCAGGGTCGCGTTCTCCCCCGTACGCTTTGATGACCGTCCTAGCGTTAAATGTTCCCCCCTCGGCTGGATTCCAAGAGTAATGTGGCCGATCACATCTAGGTTTTTCATTCCCCGCCACTTCGAGGCGTATAGCGTCGTCCGGTTCAAAAATTCTGCCTTGACGATTTCCGTTTTGAATCCCTTATCCAATGCCATATACAGGCCAGTCCTGTTCGACCCGCATATTTGCCCCTTCACGATCAACAATTTTTGCTCCTTAAAAGCTAATCACTTCACATCCATTTTGTCTTTTTCATAAGGAGTCTTTTTCACTGCTCGCTGACCGTTTTTAACATCTGACTGTTTGTTCTGCGACGGTGAACTGATTGTTTTACGGAATCATAGAATTTACTCAAAAATTCATTTTTTCTTCTATGAAACTATACTCAACGGTACTCAATAGGGTGATTTATTTATCTATTTGACTGGTTTCCCTGCTTGGACTTGAATGGGCAAGGCGAGGAACATCAAGGAGCCTTTGCAATAGGCATGATACCAAAAATATCGACTGTTCGAGGTCGCGAACAGGAGCTACAATGGCCAGATGAGCGACTAGAGGTAAGGAGTGCAAGTTGGAGTTTTAGGGACGCTATCTCTTCTGCCATGGACGTTATCTGCGCTGTAGTCTGTCCACTTGGCGTCAGCAACGAGGGGATGGAGAGCTGGGCGACTGAGGTCGGTTGGAACCGCTGTACCTCCAACATACTGTCCGCTATCTCGCTAGCCGTAAGATCGAGTAATCTTCTGAGCTAGGCACCAGAATGGTTTAAACATAGGCTGGCGGATGCTCCAACATCATTTGCTTGAGTGACTTATCGTCGATGTGGAACTCACCACGAAGTTCTTACATTCTTCTAATAATAATTGTGTTTAAGGCCAGGTTACAGGCACTGTGAAGAAAGATAAAGCATGTATCGGGCTAGCAGTGAAAAAAACTCCTTATGAATAGATATAGAGGATGATGTTTTTGTACGGTTTGGATGGCCCAGGAGAAAAAACTGCTGCCCGCTAAATGACGTCACTCCTGAAGGATATGAGTAACACCTTTTTGGACATTTTCAGTCTCAGTTGCTCCTCATGAAATTGGTACTGGACCATACGGAGGCATTGAAGAACTGTTGTTCGCTGACGACTTAACGAATTGTCCGTGGTGAGACCGATCAGGGAGATCAGAGACCACAAACTCCATCATTACGGTAGCTTAAATCGGTAGATTCAGCACGCAAAATTTGTGAGAATTTTTCCGAATGTAAAAAACGAGTAATAGGTCTCTCAAAGAATAATTTCGCCGGATTTTGACACTATTGCGCAATTTGTTCCAAATTTCAATTGCGTTCACAAAACAGAAACGACGATATTTGACGGAACTTGCCAGAGGAAGACATAAAAAGACCTCGCGATGACTATTACGTCGGGGGTGGTCAAGATGTTTTAAAGTAGTAAGCGGATTAAAGGTACGATTGTTTGAATGCTTAAGCAGTAAAAAGAATCCCTTATTAACCGACGAAACCACAAGGGATCTAGGCCTGCAAGCTGCCAACGTTACTGGCAGACACATTATTCGCGGTTCAAGGTTAAAACTCCCTTGGTAACAAAAATGTTGGACGGCATCTGTTCTCTTCCGTCCAGCAGCACGCATGAGCCTAAATAAAAACGAACAGTATTCCAGACCAGGTCTAACGTACATGTTGTAAAGGTACATTATAATATCCCCGGTTGTAAAATTTCGGAGGATAAACCCGATCGTCCTGCGTGCTTTGGAGACTATCAGGGCACAGTGTGCCGAAAGATTACGACTCTTGGGGTATGATACACACAGATCCTTAATAACCCCAGGCACATTTATGTCGTGACCGTCAATACTTAGTTGGGGCTGGTGGGCATCGCCGACCACCATCACTGAGCATTTATGTCAAGAAAGAGAAAAATGTCATGTGAGGCACCGCTGGACAAATATCTGCAGGTTGTTCTTTAGGATTTCGAGCATCATGTTCCAATCTGCCAGCTTATATCTCTGTGCAACTTTCAGATCATCACCATACATGAAGAGCTTACCATTCTGAAATAAATCTGGCACATCGTTAACAAAAAGGCAAAATAATAGCGGGTCAAATACACTACCCTGAATGTTTCCACCCCTCATGAATGTGGAATTGTTGATGACATTGGAAATCTTAATACGTTTTGTGCGAGTACCTAGGTAAGAGGATATCAAATTAAGAAGTTTGCCACCAATTCCGGAAGAGAAAAGTTTTGAGAGAAGGAGAGCATAGTCAACACGATTAAAAGCCTTAGCGAAGTCAAAATAAGCTGTGTAAAGTGCAAAACCATTGTCCCTGGACTGGAGAGCATGATTGAAGAAGGAGAGCTGACAGGTGTCACAACACCGAATTTTGAGGAATCCATGCTGAGCAGCACTTAGTAGGTTATTCTGTGTTAAGTGACACATCATCCTATCTTTTATCAATGTGTCTAAAGTTATCAAGACTGCGAGGAAGGTGTTTATTGACCGAAAGTAATCAAATGACGTCCCACTGTCCGTGACGCGCGCCCTCTTTCCGTGGCGAGGCTAACGTATCATGTGGAGACGTCGCTCAGAACTGTCGCGTTTCTGCATGACACTCCATAGTCTTTCGTGATTTTCTGTGTCAGAGGCTCTCGGCTAGTTTACAAAGGTAGTGCGCAGTTGGTCCGCATTTTCTGGTACTTCTTTTGCGGTTGGCGGGCGGCAAAGAACAAATGGGTTGTTTCACGATGACGGTGGAAGCCACACTGACCCTCCGGGAGAAGACCTTTTCAGAGATGACCATCTGAACGGTTGAGGAAGATGCGAGAGAAAATCTTTGGGCAATGTTGACAACCAGCTTTCTCAGTGGATGTCTTCAAGGTACCGGTTACTTCTCGTTTGTAAAGGTGAACGATTGTCGCATCCTTGAAATGTTGGGGAACTTGTCCTTGACGCTATATCTTTTGAAATAGTGTTGTGAAATGATTTGTATGCTGTAAGTAGTCGGTCGACATCGCGTCGGAACTCGCTGCTTTTCCGATGGAGGGTAGGTGCACGACGCTGATGGCTTCTCAGAGGGAGCGCGGAGGACGCAGGTCGGTGTTGCTTTCCACTTCCAGCAGTCGGTTGAAGACAGCATCAGAGATTTTGGACGGGCGATTAGAGGCGCTTCTGAATGGCTCGGCCTAGCGCTTCAGAGCCTGCAATTTCTCTGCCAGAAGCGATATTCCGTCGGAGCTGAGAGAGGCCTTTGTTGTTGAGCCGAAACTGCTACCAGTGTCGCAGGTCTCCTATGTTCCCGGCACGTCATGTCGACCTTTCCTCCGCACGGTAACTTAGTGGAGCAACTGCCTGTGCTGCGATGGGATGTATCCCAGTTGCCTTCTTGGGCACCGGCAAGCGGAAGTAGGCGTTGGCTAGGAGAGAGATATGTTCGAAACAACTTAGCTGGGGAAGCAGACCATTGTCGCCGCAGTCGACGATTCCGTAGGGACCCAGCAGTCCCCTTTAGACAGCGCAGTATTCCCCGACGCTTACACTAAAATCGCCGAGGACGGCCAGTTTGTCAGTTCGTTTGGTAAGGAAAGGAGGCGGAGACAGGGGTTGTTGCCGTTTCTTTGAGTCTTTCGATCAGGAGTTTTGCATCTACAAATTACGGCATACTGACGGATGGCGCAATTATCTGGTATTTGTTTGGCGTACTTTTTAGCCCCTTCCCCACCGGGTGTAAGTAGTGCTATCCCTGAATAGGACAGCTGAGGCATCCCTGACGGGTGCCCATCACTTATATTCGACGCGGCTTTGTTTAGCAGAGAGGAACCCAAGTTAGCCCAGGCCACTCTCGAGGTTACATGTCGCCCTCACCTTGGGGCTTTTGGAGGTGGGGGCAAAGAGGGAATGAAAGAGAATCGAAGGACAGCAGAGTTGCCAGGCGTGGGGACATACACAACAGCGGACACTCACTTGGTCTAATCCACCGGCTAAAGCGTTTGCTGGTTTGTCGCCGCCAGGCAGAGGCTTTCTTTGAGAAGATACAGGTGTAATTTGGGCGCCAGTTAATGGGCGTTTGGAGGAGTCATCACCTGCACTAGACATATGATGCGACCTACTTCGACCAGCAAGTGAAATCCACATATGGACATCCCCAGTGTCCATGCCGGGCTCTGAATGTATGCTTAAATAAAAAAATTCACATGTATTCCCTGACACGTGCAGGAAAATAGACGTCAACGCGCGTCCTACAACAATGTTTTCAGAAAGGCGTCCTGGAAATAGGAATGTGCGTTTGCGACGCAAAACTAGGGGCCAAGGGCAAAAAGTCACTGAGACGCCTAGGAACTAAGCAATTTCACCCCCAGGAGGACATATAATATCGGTTGCTTTCAGTTCTAAATTTCACTAGTATCCTATTCCTGTTTGCTCATTCGAAGTATTCGCGTCTGCAAAATCGGTGACTCAGTCTTTT